CCTTTTTTTTAAATGTAAAACATTATCAATTTCTAGATATAATCAATTGCAGGAACCATACACTAGAAAGATGCTGTTGTCCTTGCTGATAGATGTGATATGTGAGTTCTGCTTTTTTGCAAGGTTTATTATACCCTTAACTGAAGTAAAAACTAGGAAACACAACACAAATGCTGTGACAACAAAGTAATCTGCAGAAGGACATCGAATATTAGATTTACACTAGATCTGGCATATTCTGTGAGGAAAATCCTGACCTTGTAGAAAGTAAAACATAGTAAAAAGAAACATAAAGTCATGTTCTTGCAAAAACATGAATTTACCACTTTTGTGGCACTACCAAGGTATTTGATACCTTATATTGTACATTCTCTGAGAGTGGTTCCTGGGGGCTGCTGGCTGAAGGTCTATGGGGAGAGGGGGATGCTTGCTATGTACAGTATAATACACAAGATCTCCATTTTGATACTCCTACACTAGATGACTTGAGTGTGAGGATTAATTAGGCACTGCTTAGGTATTTAATACCTTGAGTTGTGCCATTTCTGGGAGCTACCAGCTGAAGGTCTAAGGGGTGACTGGTGCCTATATGCTGACTGTGTATAGTACAGTATCTAAGTCCACAAAGAATCTGAGTGCTGTAAAGGTATTCTTTTTTTAGATTCTTGAGAAATTGAAATGAATCCGGAAAATATTTTTTCATGCCAAGTAAGGTTTCTGCCAACATTCTCTGTCTCTCATATGATAGTGATGCTGTCTCACACCACTCTTTTTGGATTATCATTTTTATGGCAATATGTAGAACTCAGGTAATTTCCTTCAAAACTGATTCTGACCATTGACATTGCCCAACTTTTGATTTTTTTTACTGAGGATCATCCCACACTGATCTGGACAAATCCCTGAAATAGGGTGTGATCATCCCAGTTAAATCTGTACATGTCCCCACGTAACATGGGGTTACCCACTTCTCACATGGACAAATACCAGAAGGGGGTGGGACCATCCCAGTTCAATATGGACAAATACCATAAAGGGATGGGATCATCCCAGTTCAATATGGACAAATACCATAAAGGGATGGGATCATCCCAGTTCAATATGGACAAATACCATAAAGGGATGGGATGATCCCAGCTCAATGTGGACAAATACCACAAGAGGATGGGATAATCCCAAGCCAATCTGGGATGATCCCAAACCAATCTGGGAAAATCCCAGTTAAGCATGGACAAATACCAAATGAGATGGGATGATCCCAAACCAATATGGGAAAATCCCAGCAAGAGATGGGATGATCCCAGTTAAGCATGGACAAATACCAAAAGAGGATGGGATGATCCCAATTGAATCTGGGAAAATCCCAGCAAGAGATGGGATGATACCAGTTTAACATGGACAAATACCAAAAGAGGATGGGACAATCCCAGCTCAACATGGACAGATACCAAAAGAGGATGGGACAATCCCAGCTCAACATGGACAGATACCAAAAGAGGATGGGATAATCCCAAGCCAATCTGGGATGATCCCAAACCAATCTGGGAAAATCCCAGTTAAGCATGGACAAATACCAAATGAGATGGGATGATCCCAAACCAATATGGGAAAATCCCAGCAAGAGATGGGATGATCCCAGTTAAGCATGGACAAATACCAAAAGAGGATGGGATGATCCCAATTGAATCTGGGAAAATCCCAGCAAGAGATGGGATGATACCAGTTTAACATGGACAAATACCAAAAGAGGATGGGATGATCCCAGTTGAACATGGACAAATACCAAAATAGGATGGGATGATCCCAATTGAATCTGGGAAAATCCCAGCTTAACATGGACAAATACCAAAGAGGATGGGATGATCCCAATCCACTCTGGGAAAATCCCAGCCAGAGATGGGATGATCCCAGCTCAACATGGACAAATACCAAAAGAGGACGGGATGATCCCAATCCACTCTGGGAAAATCCCAGCCAGAGATGGGATGATCCCAGCTCAACATGGACAAATACCAAAAGAGGATGGGATGATCCCAAATCAATCTGGGAAAATCTCAGTTCAACATGGACAAATACCAAGGGGGGATAGGGTCATCTCAAACCAATCTGGGAAAATCCCAGCAAAAAAGGGGATGATCCCAGTTAAATGTGGACAAATACCAAATGGGATGGGATCATCACAATTTGATATGGACCAATGCCTGAAGGGTAAAGCATCATCCCAAACCAGCCAAGGAAAGTCTTGGAAAGAGATGGGATCATTCCAGTTCAATCTGATCTAGAAAAATCTCCAAATTACATAGGATCATCTCACTACATCACAGACAAATCCAAGCAGGGGACAAGATCACCCTGAGTCAGAATAGGACAGGGAGATCCCACAACAGGAACAGAATTATCGAATAGCATGCTTAGGCTGCTGGTGACTCAGCATGACAGGGGAGTATACTCCTGAAATGCACTAAGGTTATTCTGTAACATATAATCATAGGTAAGTTCCCAGCAGCTTAAAATATTATTGTCCTTTTCCAGCAGTTTCCATTTTTTACATGTTGCAGTATTTTGTTTGTAAACCAATTATTATGTTATGGTAGGACCTGGATGAACCTAAGGTTGAACTGGGACAGTGATTCAGAGTAGCCCTCACGTAGGTTCATCCCAAGTCACATGAAATTGCATAAGCATGCAGAGCACACCTTTCAGCCATTTTTGTTTTCACAAAAATTTATAATCAATTGTATGCGTGGGGACATATAGTGGATAAAATGGGTGTTGGCTTGTGGATGCTGGGCTGCCACAAAGAGCCAGCAATTTGTCTCATGCAAGACATGTTCTGCCTTTGACAATGATGCAGCAGAGGGAAGGATAATGAATATGTAGTACTTACTCGGACTGGTATCTTTGTGCATTTTTCAGTTCAGGCACTTGGATAAAGCTGCACAATTCAAAAAAATATCATATCTTTTGGATCAGCACATTAAATGGATTTGTGACATATCTTTGCCTGGTTGCAAGAGTGTTACATTATTTAAAGTTGGATGAGCCTGAATGAGAGGTATTGTAATCCTGCAGATGTATATGCTTGGTATTGTCAAACATCTTGTATTCCTTTGACTATAAGCCATTTTAAGTAACATTGATAGAAATCCAGGGTAGATAAATCTACTTTGTGATATGCAGTAAATTATATGATAAGTAGGAATGACAAAGTTATATAGTCAGTTAAGGAAAAGAGATATGGTTGAATTATCTCCTAATCAACTGAATTAAATCAGGTTAATTTGTAAATGGTTATACGTCACAATTAGTTACACTAACCTTTGGTCAAAGTCTCCTCCATCAATCTATAGTATATGATATTACACTAGAAGCTGGACAAATTAAGGTTCAATTGAGAGTAAACACCATTTGAAATTTGTATATATGTTATAAATGATGAAAGCAGGTAGTATTGTATTCTGCTTCATGGCTATTAGTACTATTGATAATGTATTGATGTTGGCTACATTTATGCAGGAACTATTTTTGCAGTAAAGCCCCCCTGACACCATGTGACATGTGGCAAATGTCTGGGATTATCCCATCTAATGGGATTATCCCACCATAACAAATGGTCTGATACCATGGGAAAATCCCAGAAGGGTGGTATTATCCCACTTCTGGGATGATCCCATCCTTGCTGGAGCACTTGGGATGATACCAGGAAAAACAAGCTCTTAGCTTTATACATTTACACAGATAGTTGAAGCTAAATGCTTATGTTTTGGGGGTGACTGAAGTGTCAAACTCCTTTTTATCAAATACGTCTTTGTATTGATGAAGGTGTTTTGGCACTATCTTTTCGAATCCTCCTTCTTTTCGATCTTTGCCTGCGGCTTCTGCTAGCTTCTGTGCCATTGTGCCTTGGGCTCTGATATGATAATATTGATCGTCGATCGTGGCATCTTCGAAATTATGGAGATTCACCTGTATCATCCTCTCGTCTTCTCTTAGTTCCTCGAAGAATATTTCCGGATCCTCCTCTGGATCAGAGATTCGGATTCTCGGTCTGCATTCTTCAGGACATCTTTCAAAGGTCAACTTCAATTCTTTCCAGTCTATTTTAGGATTATGTTTGTTCAACCACTCATGTCCTAGAAACATTTTTCCGTTACCCAGATTGGTTACGGCAAGATGTATCTTCTCGACGTGTCCGTCGATTTCCATGAGTAGTATTACAAATTCATTGATGGCTCCGTTTTTATTAAGAGTTCCATCTGCATTATAGACTGGAATAGGTCTCGGTATCTTCCTTGTCTCATATCTTTTGTCTTTCACAAATTGGGAGTCGATGCAACTCCCCGTGCATCCACTATCCAATAGTGCTTCGACTGTTTCTGATTGGAGAGTATCTAATGTAGTAAGCTTACATTTTACGTTCATTTGATTGCCTTGGGTGCCCCTAATGTACTTTTTTGGGGAGGCAATTTCTATGATCGCTTGTATAGCTTCTACTTTTGGTAACCGGTTGATTTCTTTTATCGTTTCCCGGGTTACTTCTCTCGCTCTCTTTTTATGTGTCCAGGCACTCAGAATCCCAATGGATCTTTCTTCCTTTTGGTCTCTTAGCCTGTCTACTACCCATTCTGGGGTCCAGACTTCTGTTCTAGGTTTTTTTAGAGGGGCTCCTGACCTCTCTTCTACAGTCTCTGCTGCGTTTTTCTCCGTAGAGCTCGCCGCATCGGGTGTAGGAATCTTAGGTTCTATCGTAAATGCTGCGCTTTTTAGTGATTCGCCCGCCGTCGAAACTGCGGATGTCTTATCACTCTGCGCCGCTTTTACTCTAGTTGCATCTTTTTCGTTTCGGATTTCTTTCTTTGTCTGAGTGGAAATAGTTTTATTGTCATCCACGCTAAAGCTGCAGCGTAACAATTCTGAGTCATATGTATCTACAGTTAGAGGAAGAAATCGATTCGAAACGTCTTTAGGCTCAGTCGGTCGATGCGGTACCGCTGGCCTCTTTAAAAACCCTCAAGGAGTTTTTCCCTTTCCTCTTTCGTCATCTTTTCTAAGAACTCTCGGACATTAAATTGTGGCTTCTTTTTTTGTGCGTCTTTGCACTCGAAGCTTCTATGTCCCTTTTCTCCGCATCGGTAGCATCGTCCCTCAGTGCGGAACTTTGCTTTGTCCACCTCCATTCTTTCTCCGCCACCGGTATAGGTATATCCGGTTCCGTCTCTCTTCTTCTCTCCTTCTTTCTTTTGTTCCGAATAGGGTCTCTTCCCGGTATCGGAACCTTTCTTCTCTTTTTCTCTCTCTCTCCAAATATAGTCTATCCTGATGAGTTCCCTCTTCCACTCTTGGTAATCTCTGGGAATATGCCCGCCGTAGATCACCCTGTCTACTAGCGGCTTGTTCATGTTCCTTCTGAGTAGAGATATTAGGAACTCTTCGTTTATCCTATTTGTATATCCTGCCCATCTTTTCTTTTCCTCAAACCTTTCAAAGAAGGCTTGGGCGGTTTCATTGCCCTGTCTCAGGGTCAATATTTTGTTCTTTGCAGTTTCTTTCTCAAAACTGTCCTTGAACCTTTCTTCCATTTTGTCCGCAAAATACGGCCAACTTCCGTATGTGTTTGTAATATCGAGCCCCAGCTGTTGGGCGTCGACTCGGTTTTCTAGCCAATCGGTTCGGAAGGCCGCGGCTTCTCCTTCTTTCATAAAAGATAGCACAAAGCTTATCTTTTTTCGGTCATCTTGGAAATATACGGCATCGTCTTCAAAATGTAGTAATAAGGACTCTCTAAAGGCCCTATACTTTTTCTTATCTCCGGAGAAGTTCTCGGGTTTCTCCAGTGCCGTTCTACTTCTTTCCACCTTTTCTGGAGGTGGCGGTATCTGTCTCTTTAATTTTCTTTGCAAGACGTTCACTTCTTTGAGCGCCTCGTCTAGCTGTGATTGGTAGTGCATTTGTGTTTGTCTTATTGCTTTTTCTACTTCTTGTTTTACGTATGCTTCCAATCGCGCTTCTTTCGGGGGGGGAGTGTCTATTCTGGGTAATGAATCCATCATTTCTCTGGTAAATGCACTGTCCGTGCTGTTGGATGGCTCGGGCAGATCGCGATATTCTAGGTTTGACATTGAATGTGAGTTGGGGAGGAGGGGGAGTTTCGGATTTAATCAAAGGGGATGGGATTCTGATGGGTTCTATTTCTGGTAGGGGGAATTGCCCTCTGAATACGTAGTCTTGAGAGTAAATGTGTTGCTCTCCGATCCAAATGTAAAAATCTCTACTAAGCATAGAAAGGAGTTCACCAGTGATAAGCTGGATCGATACACCGCTTTCTAAGATCCTAGTAGTCTATCTTTTCTCTTTGAGTCAAAGTGGTCCTCTTCAGCCCACTACTGACTATGTATGTATGGTAACTATTTTTGTATTTTACGAATTTTATGTAAAAGGTATAGTGATAAATTGGGGTCCGAACAGTTGTCCCAATGTGACCAGCTTATTAGGCTTTCAGTCCTTCTCCCGACTGGCGGACGCAAATGCGCGGCCTGGTCAGAGGAAATCGAAAATGAAACTATGTAAAACCGAGAAAATCCCAATGGTTCCACACCAAAGAGATTATAGTGATATAAAATGTATTTACAGGGGGATGGTTACGAACGAGTCTTGGGATGAGGAGGGAGAGATGTTGGCAGGGAAAAATGATAAAATGGTGCCGGGGCGAGTGGGTAGGTGATGAAGTGGGAGGGTAGTGGTAGTTTGGTTTGATCGTTTGAGTAGGTTTAGGATGAGGAAGATGATGATGATGGTGACGATGATGGTGGTTAGGATTGTTGCTGTTATATTCATAAACGGTACTTGTGGCAGTTGTTGATTGTGTAAAACCCTTATCCCCTTTACCGAACTAACGGAGGGACGAAGGTTCAAATCAAACAAGTAGCGTTACAAGGTATCGATTGAGAATTAATCAACAACTGAGGAAAGTATGTACATGATGGTCTACTATATATATATTTCTGAAAGTCAGCCATGAGGCGCTGACTGAGCTAACATGCAGCAGCCATGAGGCGCTGACTGATGTTCTTTGTAATGGTTCTAGGCTTACGTCACGTGATGGTCACGTGATCTGATATAACTACGTATTATGTTATCCGCGCTAAAGCAGCAGCTTAACATATCTTATCTGTCATGTGATCAGATATCAAAGAAAATGAAAAAAGGAAACTAGCGCTCAGACTAGCGCTTCTGGTTCAAGTCGTGACAATTGGTAGCATGGACAGGTGTCAATAACAAAGCGAATATTCAAAAGACTCGCCTTTGCGCCACACAGGCACAGTGCCACGTGGAATAGTAATTAATATTGCCTTTTTCGAACTTGTGGCTGATCAGCACCACCTCTATTAGGCAATCCAGTCACGCTCACCTTTGCTTTTCCATTCGGTACTTTCCGCGTTTCGGCATTTCAGCAAATTTTTGCATCGCCACTGGCTACACATTGCATTGCGCCCTTGCTTTTGTCGTTTCCCTTACTCCCCTTCCTTTGCCTAGCCCCACCATGGGCCCCTTCCTCTCCTTTTTATTCTCACCTGACGGTCGTTTCTGGATCCCCATTCTAATCCACTTTTTCGTCACCTCCACCCTCCTCCTCCTCATCTTATTTGCACCCCCACCATTTCTGATGTCACCACTTCCTATCCGCTTCCGTCGCCGATCCGTTGACTACCACGTGCCACTGCTGATATCAGCAAAGCCCCGGCGGCCGGTTCAAATAGGGCAACAGGTCCATCTTCATGACGTTGATCTACCATCATATACTATCAAAACATCGGTCGCTCGTCTTACCTGGTTGGAGCGTGGGTGGGTAGTTTTTGAGCTGGAGAAGGTTCATCCCCTTGCATCGCCCATGTTCATCGCTGTCCCATTCACTTGGGTACACTTATCTTTTGTCCATCATCTCCGCTACAGCTACACCTATCACACGCTGCCTGGGACTCACTTGTTCCAAATTGGAACTACTCCTCTCCCTCCCTCATTTGATCAGGTGGTCCAACACAACCAGTCCATACATTGGTAAGGCCATGGAACTGTCGGATTTGGACTAGGTGGTGGACCGGTGGCTCCAGTTTCTTTTTCTTCAACAGAACATTCATTTACAGTGCGATTATTTTTGATTTTTGAATCATTTTTATGGACACATATTTTATAGAATGCCTGACTGACAATAAAGGAACTGTGTTGATACTGATAGTGTTTTGCCTTGCCTTTTTTTTTACTGCATCTTCCCATGACATCATGATTTTCCTGCTCTCTTTTTGCTATTGGACTTTACTTTATGGCTATACAAACCTGTGACATTACTCACAGCATTCATTGTTCTATCCCTTTCTTTTCCTTTTTTTGACCATCTTATCCTGTACTACCTATGCAGGATTCGTCAGCGTACATTCCTTCCTTCATATTCTTTCTCATTCTTTTTGCACAGCTATACTGTGCATAGCCTACTTTTCTTTTACTATATAAACCCCTGTATTTTACCTTGTAAAAAAAAACAAGAACTCCAATCCAGACTTCTTCTCTACTCTCAAGTTCACTACTCTGCTACTTGTGATCCAGTGTGGTCACAACACTTCCCACTTCTACCACTGTCAACTGCTGTCATCGTCACTTCCCACTTTTGAAGTCATTGTCATCCCTTTCGATTAGAGTCCTTCTGAGCACTACAGTTTGTGCATCAGGAGCCTGCTATCACTGGGAACCTCGTCATATTGTCGTTCTCAAACCTACCTTGTGCTACAATTAGCAAGGTAGTGCTTGTCTATACTCGTCACAAAGCCCCTATCCTTCTATAAATTCAACTATCCCTCCTCCTTAAAACCCACACTCATACACCTCTGGGTTTTACTTTGAAGGATCTTTATACGTACCACCGCACAAACAACCAGACCACTCCACTGTTCTAGGAGGCAAAGCCCATAAACAAGTTCCGTGGAATCTGGGAGGATTGTGTGTTAGTTTGTTTTGTGTGTGGTTTTCTAACAGCAGTTTCCATTATCGACATCGGATAAAATGATATTTCCGTTGAATGTGTTTTGTGCTAGCACAGAACTGTGGATCTCGTGTAAAAATAATAGCTGCTTGATTGTCACAGTGCAATGTTGTAGGTCCATTTTGAGCATGTCCAATTTCTTCAAAAAATGTCCGAAGCCATGCAAGGTGTTGTCCAGCATTGCTCAATCCAATGTACTCTGACTCCGTGGAGGATAAAGCTACCATGCTTTGTCTTTTGCTTGTCCAGGAGATTGCTCCTTGGATGGTGATAAAAACAAAGCCTGATGTTGATCGAGACGTGTCTGGGTCTCCAGACCAATCTGCATCTGAATATCCATAGAAATCCATGTCCATGGAGACATCTGTGCCATCATATTGTAGTTCCATGTCCCTGGTTGCTTTCAGATATCGGAGGACACATTTTGCAGCTTCCCAGTGATGGCTCCTTGGAGATGAGCTATGCCTGCTTAGTATTCCAATGACGTAGGCAATGTCTGGGCAGGTTCTGAGCATGGCATACATGAGGGAGCCTACAATTGAGAGGTATGACACTTGACACCCTTCAATATGCATCTTGTGTTGCACAATATCTTCCCCTGGAGCATTTGCAAGGAGTTTTGATCCATGGGCCATTGGTGTCCATACTGGTTTGCAGTTCTTCATTCCAGTACGCTCCAGGACTGTGTCAATGTATTGACATTGCAATAGAAATATTATTTTGTTTGAACGATCACGTTGGATTTCTATTCCAAGGATGTATTTTGCTTCTTCAAGGTCCTGCATTTTGAATATGGATTCGAGTTTGGCTTTTGTGATATCCATGAATTTTTGGGATGAAGCTCCTAGGAGGAGGCCATCTACATAGACAACAACAAAGCATATTTGTTTGTTGTCCCGGAATACATAAAGACATGTTTCTGCATTTAGTCTTGTGAAACCGAGCTCCTGGAGCTTGCAATCAAAGGTTTTGTTCCATGTACAACCAGCTTGTTTTAATCCGTAGATGGATTTCTTCAACCTCCAGCAGTATCCAGGTTGGATAGGAACACCCCCTGGAGGAAGCATGTATAGTTCTTCTTCAAGTTCTCCATTGAGATAAGCTGTGGATACGTCCATTTAATCAAGTTCTAGGTCATAGTTTGCTGCCAGGGCTAGAATAATTCAGATCGACTCTAAGTTTGCAACCGGAGCAAAAACCTCCTGGTAATCAATTCCCTCCCTTTGAGTAAAACCTCGTGCAACAATCCGGAGTTTGTATCTCTCAATGTTTCCGTTTTGATCAAACTTGATCCGGAACACAGGTTTTGATGTAATGGGTTTCACTCCCTTCGGAAGTGGAACAGTGTCATATACTGCATTAGTATTGAGAGTTAGGAGTTCCTCCTCCAAGGCAGACTTCCATAATTCTCCATCCGGACGTGATAAGGCTTCCTTTAGTGTCCTTGGAAGGTCTGTGTTAGATAGACCAGTACTTGCTATTCCAGCAAAGAATGTCTCCTCTGTATCAGATGTTTCTTCATGAACCTCAGGAGTGTCAGGTTTCTCCATGGAGTTGTCATGCTGCTCTTTTCAAGACTGTTCCTCATCTAGAGTACTTTGATAATCTTGGTTTTTGTCTGCAGGACGGGTCTGGCGACTGCTTCTGCGTACTCCTAGGACTTCAGCAGGCATGACTGCTCTTTTAGGAACTTGTGCAGGTACTCCAGGGAGTAGACACATTTGTGTGTGTGTTGCCCCACTCACTCCTGAAGGTGTTGAATCACTCCTTGGAGGCGTTGGATGACTCCTCGGAGGTGTTGTATGCCTTCCTGAAGCTGATCCAATGGACAGGCTATCTAGCTGTATTCGGACTTTTTCCACATCAGCTGGCTGTATGTTGTCCTCCCACTGACTGTGACTCTACTTTGGGTTTCCGTTCTGAAGATGGTTAGTGTTCAGGTCTTGGTTGTAGAAACTGTTGTGGAGGGTGTCTTAGCTGATCAGGTGCTCTCACTGCTCTTGGAACGTCTCCACGGAGGTATTGCCCCACTGCTCTTGGAACATCTTCATGCTGATATGGTTCTATTGCTTGTGGAACATCTCCTTGGAGATGTGGTTCCATTTGCAATTCATTTGGATCTCGGATCCGAGGGTCAGGATCATCCTCCTCCAATGTATTTTGGTCTGGATGGTGAGCATTCTCTGGAATGAGTCCCTCCCACTAATTTGTGCTAGTGTCTGTGTTCCAGGGAGCAGTGTCATCCTTTTGTACCTTTCCGGATTCATTAAACATGACATGCCGACTGGAAAACACAGTTTGTTTTTCAGTGTCTAGGAGTTTGTAGGCTTGCTTTCCATGTGTGTAGCCAATCATTATGGCTTTGCACCTCTTGGAGTAAAACTTCCCTTGCCTTTTGTCTTTCGGAATCAAGGCATATGCTTGGCATCCGAAAGAGTGAAACAAAGTTGGATCAACTCTCCTTTTAAACAGTATTTCATATGGGGTCTTTCCATGGAGTCCTGATGCTGGGCTGCATGCTGTGATATATGCAGCTATTTGCATGGCATCTACCCAAAATGACTTTGGGAGCTTGGAATCATGCAGCATAGTGGTTGCTAATGTAGCCAATGTCTGATTTATGCATTCTGCAATGCCATTTTGTTCCGGAGTATCTGCAGCTGTAGTTTCTTGGACGACACCATCTCCTCAGAGTTGATTTTTGAATGCATTGCCAGTATATTCTCCTCCCCAATCGCTCCGGAGGAATTCTGTGTACAGTGGAGTGAATTTTTCTTCTCCCAAATGTGTCCAGAAGAATGTTTGGACATCTTCTTTCCATTGCTTGTATTGTTCCAGTGCTTCACTTTTATGTTTTAGGAAATATATCCATGGAAATTTAGAGAAATCATCTACAATGATGATCCAGTACTGGAAACCCTCCCTAGAAGTTGGTTTGATTGGTCCTCCAACATCTGTGTGCACAATTTGTATGGGGTGCTTGGCTCGGTTTCCTCCAGTGGACTTGAAAGGGAATTTCTTCATCTTTCCTAAAGCACAAGGTTCACAAAACTCCAGGGTTCCGGTAAGGGTGTCTATATCCTGGAGCTGTCCTTTTGTAACCATTTGTTGCAAGCGGTCCATTCCAATGTGTGCCATTCTCCTGTGCAATAAATTTACATCTACTGCTGTAAAAGCTGACTCCGGGTTGATTTCAGGTTTTGCTTGGATGTGATAAAGTCCTCGCTTGTGTAAGGCAGTGAGGATAAGTTCCTTCTTTTTCCGAACTTCACAAGCATTTGACCCTGCTGGAAAAAGTGTTGATAACCCCGTTTTAGACAAGTGCTAAAGTGAAGTTTGGCACAAGTAAGACATTTGACAGTGCAATATTGTAGTCCTTTTTGCCAACAGTTGCTTGTAGGATTACAGTTCCAATTCCAATGGCATTTACAGAGGATTCATCCCCAAAACTGATTGTCCTCGGAGGATTCAGAACATGGTATATTCCTGGCTCAAACCAGGAGCGGTGAGGGACCATGTGGGATGTTGCTCCAGAGTCAATGATGATTGTTGTTTTGGTCTTATCGGGTTCCGACACAAGGTAAGCTTGAATGTGTTTAGCAAGGGGCTTGGAAATATGTACATGTTCCAAACAATATGACTCTGTTCCTCCTCGGAGTCAAATCCAGATGATTGCTCCGCTGTATTTGCCTTTTCCTTCTCTTTTCCTTTATCCTTGTGTCTTTCCTTTTCCTTCTTCCTTTGACCTTTTCCAGCTGACTGAAGTGTTCGACACTCTGAGGTGTTGTGTGATTTAGCTTTGTGGAAGTCACACCACTTCTCCTCGGATTTGAGTGCTGATTTGGAACCTCCAGGGGCCTTCCCTGACTGTCATGCAACTTCTGCAGTGATCCGGATCTCAACTGCATCAAAGGTAAGTTTATTTTCTTCAATCGTGTTGATTACCAATGACTGAAATATTTGCCATTCAGGAGTGCATGGGAGAGATTGGAGAAGAGCAAAGGCCATGAGTTTGGTATCAACTCCTAGTTTCATTCCGGAGAGGTGTGAATCAATTGTCCGGATTTTTGCAATGTGGTCCTGGATAGATGAGGTCCCATCCCAGGACAATTTGGTGAGTTGCTGGAATGAATAGAAGGCCAAGGCAATGTTGGACATCTGATGGAGTGAGACAAGTTTATCAAATAACTCCTTGGAGCTGGTGAGGTCTCCAGTCCTCATTAGGAGGTCATCAGAGATGTGGTCCTGGATGATTCCATGTGCCTTCTCATCCTTAAGTATCCAGGTGATTTCAGGATCCTCCGAGGAGGTAGGTTTTCCTGGTGAGGGCTTAAGCTCCTCTCCAGTAACAACCCGGAGAACTTTTTCCCGACGTAGCTTTGAGATGATCTGGAGTTTCCATATCTGAAAATTGTTGGGTCCAGTGAGAACTGGACATGCGGATGTATCGTGTGCTGTGGTCATGGTTTTAAGGTTGCCATTTCAAATAAGAATTATTTCCTGTGTAGCTTTTGCGTACCAGGGCTCATAACCTAATAAAACTAAGTGAAACTCAGCCGCTGCCCGAGAGGCTATAGAAATGACTGAGGTATTTCTATACTAAACCCCCTACTACTTGTAGTCAGAGGTGCTACTTGCTACAGTATAATGACTCCTAGGAGAACAATGGTGACTCCATGGAGTGGTGGCTATGCTCCATGGAGAACAATGGCTGCTTTGGCAGAGACCGGGTTTATCCAGTTTTGTCAAACAGTGTATCAGAACTAAACCATAGTACAGTAATATGGTTGTATAAGTGTTACAATTGACGTACCAGTACCTACTTACGCTTCACTTTTTGCACTTTTACTTTTATTTTTCCAAGTCACATGACCAGTCATGTGACCATTTACTTTACTTTACATTTTCAACTTTTCATAGTCACATGACCAATGTCTAGACTCATCATGTGACCGGTCACATGCTAAACATCAGAGAAAGAAAGTTGTTTCTTCTGAAGGAAGGTCTGCTGTTATTGGTGAGGCTATACCATTGCTAAGACATTCAGTGCCAACATTTGGTGATAAGAATTTACCATGCCTCTTTTGTAATTAGTAAGCCGGCAACTGCAGTGCCGGAGCGTCAATGTACCAATCCTAAGTGCCAGGATTGACTGCAAAAAAAAAAAACAATGAGTGAAGAAACCCATCCTAAGGCTCCAGTTCACAACAATATATATAGAACACCCAGGGGAATGAACCAACATGAGAATTCAAGTACTATTACCCCAGCCCCCACTGTGCGGCCAGTGACTTCATCTTCATCTCTACCCCACATCCCCTATTTCAGTAATACACCTGGTCACCCTCCTAGTTTCCCCCTTCCAAGTCCAATGACAGCTACACCTAGAACATATTCCAGGCGCAAAACAACTGAGCAAAAACTTGAGCTAATATTCAATACAATCATCAATGATGCTCACTGGTCTTTTGCCAATCTTCTCTACCATGCATTCCGCATGAATACGGAGGAAGGCATTAAAATATCCCGGTCAAAACAACATGCCTCTATTGTGAGCAGGTTCCTAGGTGGGCGTGATTGCCACACACCTGCTACAATTGTGAAACTATGGTATGACCACCCAGGTGGATGTCCCACAAGTGACGAAGAAAGAAAGCTTATGCACTCACCAACCATCCCCTTTGTCAACATGAAACCTGCACGCTCTGCTCTATCATCATTTGCGGTGCAAATGACATGCAAATACTTAATCAAAGAACAAACCCGAGCACTGAAACCAGAAACTTCCAGTGGGCTTGCAATGACCAAGGCAAAAGAGGATGTTAGTTGGCGGATATTGGGCAAGTCCACCACAGCGGACATCAAAAAAAAATTGCAGACTTACCAGCCTGTATTATGGCACTATCCTCACCACCTCGTTGCCTGCATAATGGCCAAGAAGTGGTCCGGAAATATAGGCCACCTGAACTTGTAAGTTCACATTGTTGCCAGCATATATATTATCTTATATAATCTGCAGGTTTTGACTCACATTATTACATCCCTCAACCTCAGCTGTACCAACCGTGCCAGAATCATGGCAGTTGGCCGTGCAATTCTCTATTTTGCATGTGGTGCACAACAAACCCTCTTTGACTACAATTCACAAGTTGGTAATACTATGGCATATAGCTCAACACAACTCACCTTAAAAAAGCTCTCCAAAAAAAAAGCAAGAGAGATCTGGGCACTTGGAACAGACCCCAAACACTGGCCTGTCTTGCGCCTAGACAATGTACAATGTTATCATAAGCAGCAGGAGCAAAGAATGGGGTGGACAGACCAAATAATTGTGGGCACAGCAGTAAGTGTTGTTGAAGCTGTAGCCTTTGATCCTGAGGCAGCCAACCTCCAACACTCTGCTAGTCAGTCAAATGCATGAGAAATATACCAGTATTAATTCATATGAAACGACACTTACTCAGTCTATGGCCAACAATACAATGCCTATCCCATCGGGCACCAAGTGGTTCCCTCCTGGTGATGTTTTTCCATCTGCTGAAACCCAGGCCACTACACGTCAGAGCAAGGCTAAGAAAACCAAGAAAAAAAGCCAGTGTCAGCCAAAAGACAAGGCTAATGAAGCAGACCTTGATGAAAGCACCCAAGAACAATTTGAGGGTGACCACACACTCACAGAATCAATGCATTTCATGTCAGATGCACTAGTGGCTCATGAATTTGCATATGCAGTTACAACTGGTGACATTAGACGGGCCTATGAGTGTTTCAAAATGATGTTATTCACTTTCTGCGGCTCAGGCCATACAAAATATGGGACATACCTATTGGAGATGATATGTTTGTTGGAATTTGAAAGCACACCCAAAATATGTGAAGCTCTGTTGAAAAACTGGATTGTCAACCTCAAAGGCCTTTCAGGTAGGTTTCAAGCAGGGGACCTTATGCCAGAACGCATGAACCTTGTCCTTGAGGTCTCGTGTGATCACAATGATGCTGCCTGGAATGGAGTCCTAATGCACAATATCATCTCTCACAATGTCCAGGAATTTTCTTGCATGAAAAAAGAAATATTAGAAGGCCTTGGCCTTGCACGCAAAAGTAGTAAACATCCAGAACCACATAACCAACCTGAAATCAGAACATTGCTACAGTCTTACCGTGAGACAGAACTGCATTCTTTCCGCACTGATCGTACATATGGAGGACGCAATGTTAATGGTTCTGCCCATGGTGTGGACAAGTTGGAGGAAGGGAATGTTACGATCTCTATTGGACATTTAAGGACTACTCATTTCTCTTTACTCATCGGTTATACCATTGGACCGATGACTCATTTCCTTCACGTACACTTCCGTTCCTCTCACATTTGCAGTACCTATTATAGTACTTAGTCCTCAACGGACGGACCTGCCCTAGATAGGACCTAACTCCTATCACTGATTCCTTTTCATTATAAATACCATGTAACAGCAGTAGTATTCTCTAATATGATTCTACACAGTTTACACTTACAAAGCTAGACTCCCAAGATCAGACTTCTACTCAGAAGAAGACCAACTCCCGTTGGAAGACCTCCACTCTGAACTATGTTCTTGAACTTGTCTTCGGATAAGTCTCTTTACAAACCTCAACAAACCTTCAGACTTTGTTAAGCACTTCATGCGTAACAAAGGAGTTGTATTCTAACCAGAAGTCCCACCTATTTAGATTTGGGAAGAAAAAGTCAACAAGACGTCGCAACAACCAACAACCAGATCCCAGAGAGTAAGAGGAAGCTCAGACAACCCACAAACAGCAACCCCACTGACGACATCCCAACAAGAAAGGATAGCAGCACCACCTCCCTTTCCCCAACCAGATGTAACCCAACTCCACACCAGAGAACAAGCAGACACTTTCTACGAAGCCAGAACACGTTGGCTACAGTACTACGCAGGAAGCCACCCACAACTACTGCCCACAACACAACACGATCCCCCAGTAACCGTAAAAAACCTCTACAACGAGAACAACTTTGAAGAGTTTGCAGCAAACGGCGACCCGATACCACCTCCCACTCCACAGATACTCCCCGCCGCACCTGCTCCATCCCATATCCCACCACCACGCACCATGTCTAACGCTGCAGCCCCCAAACCCACGTTGATCGGGAAAATTGATGACTTTGATGGAACCCCAGATAAAGCCCAAAGGTGGATATCGTCCACCAATCTACACTTTGATATCAATGACACCATCTACAACTCCAACAAGAAAAAGGTATATGTGGCCCTCAGCTACATGAAGGATGGCAACGCTGCCTCATGGAGCAAAGCCAAGATGACCGAATACAAAGGGAAGAACACCTACCCCACATGGGCAGACTTCATGAAAACCTTCACAACCAGTTTCAGAACGGCAAACATCAAAGGAACGGCCTCAGCCGCCTTGATGAAAATGAAGATGGAACAAGGAGAAAATGCAGTAGCATTTAACTCAAGGTTCATGCTAGATGCTGGGAAGAGCGGCATCAACAACAAAGCCATGATCATGGTTTATCAAAAGGCTATCCGGCCACCCCTCCTTTGCGGGGCACTCACCGGAAAGGAACTACTCACCATCAAAGACTGGATGAGCACAGTGGCGAACATAGATGCCAACTGGATCAGTGGCGAACCTAGATGCCAACTGGATCAGTGCCAACACTATCTCGGAAGGAGTGTGGGGCACCAGAAACAAAGAAAGACAGAACGACAGAAACCGCAAAAGTGGACCATCCACCAGCACCAGAAGATTAACTAAAGATGAAGAAGAATCAAGGCGGAAAGAGGGAAGATGCTTCATATGTAATGAGAAAGGACACATAGGAAGGAATTGTAGGAACAAAGGAAAAACTCCCGAAAGAAAGGTACGTCAAACCGAAACGGAAGATGACACCAAAACAGTGGTGGAAGAAGACAGGGTCCAAAACATCATGAGGATGTGGAGGGAGTTAGGAGAAGATCAAAGAACAGAGGCAATGAAAGAATTAGAAGACGAGGGTTTTTGAAACGACGGACTACCCCGATGTTAGTACCGTTGAAAATGGCAACTGTAATAATAGCGACGATCAATGCCAACTCTTTACGAATTGATTGCTCGTTGAAACAGAAAACCATCGGAACCAAAGCCCTGATAGATTCAGGAGCTACAGATGACTTCATGGACACAAAATTCGCCATCAGACACTGACTCCCCCTCCGAAAACTCCCAACTCCGATAACATGTAAAAATGTTGACGGAACCACGAACAAAAACTGAAAAATTATGCATTGTACCTATCAGAGGATAGATGCAAGAGGACAAAACAGGTTTACAAAGTTCCTATTGACCGGACTAGATGGAGAAGACGTATTACTGGGATTTCCCTGGTTACGAAAAGTCAATCCTGTCATTAACTGGAAAGACAAAGAATTACCAAACTTGGACAAACACTCCATCAGGATGAACCAAACAACCACAGAAACAAAAATCAGGACAACCGCAGTAAACGAAGATGTGTACGAAACTATTCATAGATACGTATCCGACCAAACACCCTATCCTCAAACCACGATTCAATTAAAGGTCAACTCGGCAATGGAACACGTGCAAATACACACAGAAAAAAAGGAGCATAACCTCCCAGATGAATACAAAGGGTATTCGGACGTCTTTGACAAAAAGAAGTTGGAAAGACTCCCCAAGCGACGGGAATATGATCATGCAATCAACATGAAAATTTGTACCAACAGATTGCAAGTTGTACCCATTGGCACCAAAGGAAGACGAAGCATTAATGGAATTCTTAACGGAAAACTACAGAAAGGGATACATCAGGCCGAGCAAGTCGCCACAGGTGTCCCCCTTCTTCCTCATTGGCAAAAAGGATGGATCACTCTGACCGTGCCAAGATTACAGAAAACTGAACACATATACCGTGAAAGACCCCTATCCACTACCCCTGATACCCGACCTCATCGAAAAATTGAAAGGAGCCACCATCTTTACGAAACCAGATCTACATTGGGGATAAAACAACGTAAGGATAAAAGAAGGAGACGAATGGAAAGCTGCATTTAGAACCAGCAAAGGAGTGTTCAAATCAACGGTCATGTTCTTCGGCATGTGCAATTCACCGGCAACATTCCAAAGGCTGATGAACGACAAATTCAAAGACTACATTGATGAAGGCTGGATGATCATATACATGGATGACATCCTCATCTTTGACACCAACATCGAAAGACTCCGAATCCAAACGAAACAGGTTCTACAAAGACTACGCAATAACGACCTATTCCTAAAACTAGAAAAATGCACCTTGGAAGCAGAAACCATCAAATACTTGGGAATGATCGTTTCCCACAATCAGGTATCAATGGATCCAGCCAAACTTGCAATCCCGAAAAACACCAAAGGCGTAAGGAAGTTTTTAGGTTACGGAAACTTCTACAGGAAGTTTATCGGTCATTACTCTGACCTTGCCAGACCCTTGAATGCCTTACTAGAAAAGGATAGGAAGTGGAACTGGACCCAAACTGAAGACAACACTTTCAAATTAATGAAACAAAAATTCCTTGAATCCCCCATAACACAAATTCCCGACTCCTCAAAACCGTCAAAGATTGCTGCAGATGCCAGCAAACACGCCACAGGAGCTGTATTAATGCAACCAGACGACCAAGGACAATGGCACCCATGTGCATTTTTCTCCAAAACTCTATCCCCCACTGAAAAGAACTACCAGATCTACGACAAAGAGTTATTAGCGGTAATGAGAGCTTTAAAAGAGTGGAAACACTTACTTTTGGGAAGCCCCCACACAATCCAAATCCTGCCAGATCACAAGAACCTGATGTACTGGCAAGAAGCCAGGAAACTCACACCATGGCAAAGAAGATGGCAACTGGAACTGTCACAATACAATTACACCTTGGAGCACGTACCAGGAACCCACATGGTGGTACCCGACGCACTCTCAAGAAGACCTGATTTATACATCAAAACAGAAAGAGATGACAATGACACACCAATGATACCTGCCTCAGTGTTCCTGTATCACACACAAACAATTAAAAACACAATCGAGCAAGCCATGCTCACAAACAATAATTATCCAGGAAGAACGAAGAAAGACGATTGGAGAAAAGAATAAGGACAGTTTTTTTATCAGAATAAATTACTGATTGACGAAGTAGAAGAACAATAAGACGATCATCAAAGATCACCACAATTCCCTGTCCGCAGGACACCCAGGAAGGCTCAAAACCTACCAGTTGATCAAAAAGGCCTATTAGTGGCCAGGAATGATGAAACAAGTGGAAGAATACGTGAAAGGATGCACAACTTGTCAACAAGCAAAAGTAAACACACATCCCACCACCGTACCATTAATCCCAAACCAGACCCCAAAAACCACCGAACCAATGAAGTACCTATCCGTAGACTTCATAACTGATTTTCCAGAATCTTCAGGATACGACAGTATAATGGTCATGGTAGACCAAGGACTTAATAAGGGGGTAATCCTCTCACCTTGTCATAAAACCATTGACGCACTCAAAACCGCACGAATCTTTCATGATTCCATCTTCAAACGATTCAGATTGCACAATAAACTCATATCCGCCAGGGGACCACAGTTCGCCTCTGAAGTATCCAAAGAACTCCACAAACTCCTGAACATTGAAACTGCACTCTCCTCTGCGTATTATCCCCAGACAGATGGACAGACAGAACGATCCAATCAAGAACTGGAGATCTACCTCCGCATATTTTGCCAGAACCAACCGCACAGCTGGGCAAAATACCTTACAACCGCCGAATTCTGTCACAACCAAAGACCACACTCCACAAACAACCAATCACCATTCTACCTCCTCATGGGATATGAACCCCGGGACAGAGATCCACGAATATCCCATCAGTGGAAAAACGATTATCCAAACTGCTTAGGGCAAGGGAAAACGCCCTAAAAGCACACGAACTCACGAGAAGCAAGATGATGAAACAAAACAATGGAAAGTTCATGCGATTCTCCGAAGGACAAAAGGTGTGGTTAGAGAACACCAACCTGCCAGAAAAAGCTACCGAATACAAGAAGTTCAACATGAAACGCATCGGACCTTTTCGCATCCAAGAAAAGATTTCCCCGGTCTACCGACTATCCCTGCCTCCCCATTGGAGGATACACAATGTTTTCCACACATCCCTTCTCACGCCGTATACAGAAACCAACACTCACGGCCCGAACTTTATCCGACCACCACCTGACCTGGTCAACGAAGAAGAGGAATACGAAGTAGAAAGTATTCTTAGACACAAACCCTGGAAACACGGGCACCGCTACCTGATTAAATGGCGCCATTACCCTTATTCCGAAAACTCATGGGAACCGGAAGAACATTTAACCAATGCTGCGGAGATACTGGAAGCCTATAAGAAGGACCACAAACTGCATTGAAGAGACAATCACCCCACTACCAAAAATCCTATGTCTCTCAACACAAAAACATGTCTACTTCTAACTCCACCGGCTTCCCTATCACCACCTACTCGATACCCGGCGACGCCAACTTGCTAGCCAATGAACGAGTGTCTTTCGCCCGTGGGCAACGACACAACCAAGCCGACGTCACTGACACCATAGAATTAATGTCAGCAAAAGACACCTATACCTATCTCTTTTATGAGACTGAAAAATGCTGCCCCCATGCGTACCACGCTCTTTCTTCCATGCATACCTTCCTTGCCATAGACCTCATAGCTGACGAACTCCTAAAAGCCATAGACTCAATACATTTGTTGGAAAGCGAGCATTCGCGGCTCAACAGTCAGGACTTGAGTATCTGTCGGGCACTCCGGATGGAAAAGTTAGTTTTGGAATCTTTGGAACGACGCTTGAGGATGAGCTCCTTGAATGGGCAGACGGACACGGCAAGGGAATATTTGGAATCAGACGGGAGGATATTGCTAAACGAAGCTCGCACGTGGATAGAGCGAGACGGTTGTACGAGTACTCCTCCACCCGGTTTGTCCCTCCGGTCCCTGTCGCACCCAGACCAGACCAGTGTTACCCCGGAGCGCACTTACCACATCATCACCCGTCGACCTACGCCCATCCCGTTGGGGGATAAATATATTCCCACTGTCCCAACCAGCCCAATCTCACAAGAGTCGAACCACTCCAGTCCCCATTCCATTGGGTCAAACCCAAAACCACTATCCCCCCCGTCATCTCCACCTCGACCAATACCAAACACCCAAACCCGTCGCCTGACGAACTGACGAGGGGCCCAATGCGGCCAGCAAGAGGTGATACTCCAGATCCCCGCCGCCAGAACTCCATCAAAACGGCAATCTCGTATGTCGAAGGGACAGAAAGGCAGTCCACCTGGCACAATGCACAGGCCTGAGACTGGCTCTCCCTCCAATCCAATCAACGTAGATGACGACGCAGCCATGATTGATCAGTTGTACGCAGGAATGTACAACCTGGGAGATGACGATCCAACCACTCCCCAATCCGACACCTCATCTAACACCTGACAAAAATACCACGAAGGCGTTCATAACAACGCTCCATACTGCCAAAATTGCGGTTGGAGCGATCATCGCACATACTATTGCAAAGCCTACTATTGCCCCGACTGTGACCGTTGTGCACCGGGACATAGTTTTAACTGGTGTCCCATCTGCAGGGAAGACGAGGATAGGATTCTGATGGAAGGATTACATGGAGACATCAGCTACGATGACAGTTACAATATTGACAGCGAAGGTACCGAATTTCGGTGAAACTTGGAGCAAGTAAGGGGGTAATGTTACGATCTCTATTGGACATTTAAGGACTACTCATTTCTCTTTACTCATCGGTTATACCATTGGACCGATGACTCATTTCCTTCACGTACACTTCCGTTCCTCTCGCATTTGCAGTACCTATTATAGTACTTAGTCCTCAACAGACGGACCTGCCCTAGATAGGACCTAACTCCTATCACCGATTCCTTTTCATTATAAATACCATGTAACAGCAGTAGTATTCTCTAATATGATTCTACACAGTTTACGCTTACAAAGCTAGACTCCTAAGATCAGACTTCTACTCAGAAGAAGACCAACTCCCATTGGAAGACCTCCACTCTGAACTATGTTCTTGAACTTGTCTTCGGATAAGTCTCTTTACAAACCTCGACGAACCCTCAGACTTTGTTAAGCACTTTGTGCGTAACAGGGAAACTACAAAAATGGATTAATGAAACTATGCAGTCCCGTGGACTGATGGCAGGGGTACATGTACCAAATGAAGCAGAAATAGTGGCCAACAAAAATGAGGATGGAGAGCAGGCTGTGAGCAACAAAGAGGCCATGAAAGCAGTGAAAGTGAGGAGGAAAACAGCGAGGAGTCAGCTGAAAGTGGTACCCGCCAAATGGATGATATAGGCAAAATAATAGCTGTAGGAGACCGGTATGTTGAGGATGGTGAACTTGTAGTCAACTACAGCTACAACAGCAAGGATGAAGTGGGACCATGGCTATCTGATGAAGACAGTGTAGTGGAGGAGGAAGGTGGGAGCACGTCAGATGAGGATGCCTGGCAATAAGGCGGTATGTTCTCTTGGTTCTGTCAAAACGCATCTGTCAGCATTGTACAACAAAATATAGAGGTGCTTACAATTTTTATCTTGCGTGTACACCACCTAGGAGCCTCAAGAGGGCCCACAGTCCCTTGTTGCTTGCGTTTGGCTTGCTGAGCTTCCGAGGATCCTTCAAAATGCACTGCAGACATAGGTGCATGCCACACAACACGTGGACATGGGACATCTATGTGTGTATTCCAACCCATGTCGCTTGAGAGAATGTTGCGACTACACCAATGACTTCAGTAAATAGGATCAAACATTCAGAAAGAAAGTGTACCTGTCAGTACCTGTCTCCATGATGAATATATTCTTCTTGGTTGACAACAAAGCAGCTTTGTCCTCACGTTTAACTTGCCTTTGCAGCTTGGCTTTTGTGTTGATTCCAAAGTGGTGAGATTCACATATCATGTGGATTTCGGCTTGCAGACTCTGGATTGTGTTCCATAGGATATGAAGGTATAGCTGTAGCAATAAGTAAGTCTTTGTTGTTGATGCAAGGTCTTCAATTGAGTTGAGATGATCGAGATCAGCAGTGAGGTGTTTAATTAATGTGTTTGAGAGAAACACGTTGGAAGGGAATATGTTGGTACCGGTCCTGCCGGCAGCAGCAAATACCTGGAAGCGTCCTTCCTCAAACCTCTTCTGACAAAGGGCTCACATCTGTTTTGTGATTGGCTTGTTCTTACTCCTTGTCTCGTTGTCAGGTGGTACAGGCGCATGGGTGGCAAGTGGATTGGCCTCAGGATTGACCTCAGGTTCACATTGACCACAATTGCAGGGTGGTGGCATTGCAGAAGGAGGTGAGGAGGCTCGAGCAGCTGTACATGATGAGCAGGAGCAAGGTGGGTCAACAGATGGGTTGGCGTACAGGCAGTTTTGCTCAGAAACAATGCACAAAGCCATGACAAGACATGCCATATTGGTGTCCATCATAGTGCCGCTAGTACATGATTTCTCACCCTTGGTTCCCACCACCTTGTCGCCGTCTTCCACCAGCTCCCGCGCTATATCCATTTTGTTTTTTGTAACGTACATAATTCCTCTCCGTGTCTCTGTTCTTGTGGTGCCCGGTCGTATGCGGCCTATTTTCTGGAAGAATTCATCCGGATTGGGCACAACTCCAACCATTATGACTTTGGAAATGTCAACTGGGTTGTATCCAAGCCAAAGGGGATTCATGGCATTGATAATGTGAGCCATGGGATCATCACAAAAAAGGCAACAGGTTTCTGCATTAAATTCAGGTGAGTTGAGTGAATTATACATTCTGATTTGAATATGGAGGTTGGAGCGGTTAGATGCATGTTTCCAGATGTATGTTTGCAGTCGGAATTGAAGATTGATTGTCTGACAAAAAATAATGAACTTTTTGTCGCTCTCTAGTACCACCTCAGTTGTGGGAAGTTCCAGCTGCCTATGCCATGGTCAAGCTCCCAGATGGACAGACGCACATCATGCCGCACATTGGAGTGTCTTATAAGGTGATACTGTCCAGTTTGTAGTTCAAGGAACTGACACACTCGCTTGGTAGCAGGTCCTGCTGTCAATGTGGCTGTGACAGCTATCTCAACTACTGAGGATGGCATTCATGCGGCCACATAACCAATTTGCTGGAAGGCATTGTGGAACCCATTCCCCCATGTATCCAGTAAGTGGATTTCATCTATTCCTATGGCACTTATGCGTAGACGAAAGGATTTGTTGTTCAACATATCCTCAAAGGATGGAGATGTGAGTTGTTCCAGGGACAGTAGTATCATTGAGGAATATTTCCGAACAGTAAGCCACAGGTTTTCTTGTCTTGCCACTCGGGCCTGATGCAGAGTATGGCTGTTTATTGCCAGCGCTTTCAGATTGTATTTCTTTAACTCAAGTTCCTGGGTTGTGTACCAGTGGTAAATGTCATAAAGTCAATGGATCAAATCTTTAGAGGGTCACACTTAACTTACCATCTCTTCTTCTAGACCATTAGTGGGGAAAACAATCACCATGGCTGGATTGGCCAGAACATATTTTGGAGGGCTGCATAGAGATGGCTTTTCGGATATTGCAATTAGGATTAGCATGTACATATAAAAGTACGCCGTCTTTCCACCTCCTGTCGGAACTATAGCCAGGAGGTCTTTGCCATCCAGGCATTGACACATTCCTTCAATCTGGTAGTTGTGTGGTTCAAATGGCAATGTTTTCGCAAGTATTTTGCATGCAAGAGCATGACCGGTGGGTGTACTGAATTGGAATGGTTTGTGTCACGATCGTATCCATATGACTCATCTTTTTTATCTAATCGCGAGATAGAGACTATTATCTCACCTAATCTAATCTCTCTTTGATCTTATCTTATCTAGTAATCACGTGACACATTCGTAATACTCATTACCAATCAGCCTCACGCATTACACATGTCACTTACCAATACGCTACGTCATACCTCACCGTAGCCTCATGCCTTCTTCTATATAACTAGCACGATATCCATGTACATACCTCAGTTGTAGATTTACTCTTATACTTGCTTGTCAAACACTTGTTGTGTGATTTAAGTCCTACGCTGCTCGGGTTACCGGCATAACAGCTAGGGTCTTTACAGTTTGGATGTGCCGACTGGGGCCGGCATTGACAGAATCTAGTGACAAATTGCTGCTTGGACGCCATTCAGATGTGTTTTCTACTGACAGAATCTTTGTTTATTTCATATGTACACTACTGGTTGACGCAACGTGTCTAGTCATGTGACTCTTCTTAACGCCAAAAAGGTCAGCAACGGTGAGGTGGTAACCAATTGATTAAGACTAGCGTCGCCTGCCCCCACCATCGGATCCAATTAATTTCCCTCAGCAACAAGCCAGCCTCTAAATGACAACATCGGCCCCTTGGCATGAGTGGGAAATGTAAGCCACTGCATGGTCCCTTTCAAGAAGTATCGAGACAGCACTGAGATGAGAACAATTGAAGTTAATACAAGGTCATCTTAGTATACACCACAGGCATAATTTCAGCCACCTGGCTGGGATACTTTCAATATTATAAATATATACTTTGTGATAGATTAACTAAAATTTTACCAATGTTATGAGAAATAGCTGGGATGGTTAATGCATTATTTCATTCGGGCAGTCCCGCCACTCTTGTTCACCATCCACCATGTCGATCACAGTCCTTTGCTCGTCGTTCCCTCCGTTCCCGACGCTTTCTCTTTCTGTTCCAAAAGACACCCCAGTCGGAGATCTGTATGGCCTTCTACATGATCGCTACCCAGACCTTCCTTGCTTCGATGAGCTTGCATTCTCGCCTCACTCTGGTCTCATTCCATGCCCAGAAACTTCCTTGTCGGCCCTCCATGCTCCAGATGCGGACCTGTCTTCTTTTATTTCCTTAAGATTAATACCGCGTTTAAGGGGTGGAAAAGGTGGATTTGGTTCTCAACTACTGGGCGGCTGGGGGTCGCATGAGCAGTCAGAAAACAAGCAATAATGATTCTTGTAGAGACTTGAGCGTGACGTAGGTTGAGCACTATCAAAGTAGCTAAAAAGTGAGTATGTCCGTATCTGGAGAAGAAAAGCCGTTTACCTATCTTACCTTTTACGTAATTCTGATAGACTTGCAGAGTACGTCGAAAATGAACCCGCTCGTAGAGAGCTGCCACATAAGCGCAGAAAACGAAACTGGAGCCCTGGAGAGAAACTGGGTAATACGACTTCACAGCAAACCGTAGTTCTTCCAAAAAA